AAATAAAGTTAGTTATCACTTCTCTCTAATGATGATTTGTATTATGATAAACCTACTGGTTTACCTCAACATATTGTTCCACAAACTTTTAGGAAAATCATATTTAACCATTTTCATAATTTATCTCACTCATCACCACATTATGTCTAGCCTAGAATGAAAAAAGACATTCAGCTTTGGTTCAAAGCTACGCACCATGCCAAAAATTTAAGATACAGTGTTGCATCCATTCTCAACTCAGCACATTTCCTCTCCTTGATACTTGTTTCACTCATGCTGCATACATGTTGATATCATTGACCATTAGGCCACTATCCCAAAGCAAATGTTTTGTGTCATTATTGTGACTAGGTTCATCTGTTGGCCAGAAGCCTTCCCTTATCAGATATTATATCAGAAACTGTGTGCTGCAAAATGATCCCAAAATGAATCTCATGTTTCAGTTGACCTTTCATCATTACCATAGATCATGGAAGACAATTTGAATCCAAACTACTTCACCAACTCACTGATCTTCTCAGTTAAAACAGAATTTGCACAACATTCTATTACCTTTCTTCTAATAAACTAGTAGAATGCCTACAATGTCAAATGAAATTAGCTATAAACATTCATCAAAGATGAGAGATCATGGATAATTTATACATACTGTATATTTATTGGTATGTGCCATATATGGGACTTGTAAATTTCTATTAATTTAACTATTGTTAACAACTGCTACTTTACAACTGGTTAATATTTGATTAATATTAGACAAAAATAAACACAGCAACGACCTAACAAACCAGCAATAAAATTATACACAAAGTTCAAATGTTTTCTCCCATGTTAAACATGCATCATCAGACAACAAAACTGCTGTGAAGATAGAAGGGATTGCTAAACATGTGTGTAGGGTGAAGGGGTGTATGACATAAGAAGAGAGGAGGGGGTTTATATTTCATAGAAATACTTTGTGGCATCACAATAGTTAATGGCTGCATTATGGAGGGTGGCCTTGTAAATTTCCGCCTGTTCTAGATGTTTAAGTACATATAATTTAGAATCGTAATGTAGTATCGTGTGTCTCGTGGATGCAGGGGGTTGGATGCATATGTAGCCAAAGCCATATTGTTTAAACCTTTTTTGATAGATGTTTGATGTTCCTTGAGATGTATATGTAGTGGGCAAGACATAACACCTATGTATTGCAGGTGGCAGTTGTAATGATGGTCTATGATGGGGATGCTGTAAATGCCTGGCAGGTGGTTCCTGTTGGGTCGGTCTTTGGCAATGTGGAGTAGAGAGGTGATAGTCGGGCTTCTGTGGAAAGCCAAACGACAATTGCTTCCTCTTGCAATTTCTCGGTAAAGTCTGGTAAGGATCTTCTTGTAGGTGACAGTCTTGAATTTTGTTTCTTCCTGAGAGGGTTTATTTAACTGGATGGAATCAGAGTTGGCAAGATTGTGGATAAGACCTTTAATAATGTGCGGGGGATAGTGATGTTGGAAGGCATATGGAGTGATAGTACATAGCTCCTTCTCTCTTTCCAGTTTGCTCTCTGTATTAGGTCTCTGAAAGCTGAAATTTTGAATGTGAAAGGATTGTGGGATGAAGGTGGGGAGGTGGGTGGATTTCCTGTAAACTTGAGTAGAGAGGCATCCTAGTTTGTTGGTGATCTGGAGGTCCAGGAAATGGAGTGGGTGCTGTCCTGTTCCAGACAGTACTAGTTTGAAGAGGTTGTGAATGATCATTTGTAATTAGTCCAGGATGACAGATTTATCCTGCCAGATTATTAAAATATCATCAACATATCTGGTATATAGGTGAATGTAGGTGGTGAAGGCAGGAAGAATGGTGGTCTCAAACTAGCATACTACTAATTTGCATAACAAACCTGATAAAGGGCTGCCCACAGGGATTCCCTTACTTTGTAGGAAAGTTTCTTCTTCGAAGAAGAAAAATTTTACTAATTTAAATGCACAATTTCAGTTGTGTAATCAATTTCATCTAAAAAATACCTTTTTACAAACATTAGAATAATAAAATCTATTCTCCATTTATTAAAGTTTTATTTTACACTTTAATATATGTCACAATTAATTATTTCAATTTAGAATAAACATACAGTATTTTTATATATTAAATAAATTTATTATTTTAATAACTATTCAAATTTTAAAAGAATATATGTATATAAAAGTATATAACTGTTTATAATTTTTACAAACTGATGATTAAAAAACTAAATAATTTACTCAAAAAATGTAAGAGAAACATATATATTCATAAAAAATGAAACAACTACAAATTAAATTAAGGTAATAATAATTAGCATTAGAATGAATAAATAATTAATCGACACACACCGGAACAATACAAATAATCTTTCTAAAAACCTATAACCGGCGTGAAATATGTTCAATTGCTTACGCTAACGTTGGAGCCACAAAAAGGGCGGTTGGAGTAAGATGGAAGGAACACCAAAGGGACATCATGCACAACAGATGTACCATCTCTTTATCTGTGTATGCTTCAGATCCAGAGATCTCTGCGACTTCGCGAATGCCAAACTTCTTATCACAACGTCATATATGGACCAGCTCAGATGGTTAGAACAAGTAGAAATATGCAAAGCCTACGACTCATCATCGCCCATCAATTCCAAAGATGAAATCACCTTATCGTTACTGTGGCAAGCCCTAATACGGAAAGAAGATTCAAATTAAATCGACATCAGTGCTTATAATAAATTAAGGAATAACAATGCGCATTTTCTCCGACTTCCGACATGCTCAAACAGATTTATTCATAAAAATTTACGTAATCCATCATACAAGTAGATGATCATTACATAGCTACTGGAGATTCGAAGACATGTGATTCCCAATGGAACTCAAAATACGACATTTGAAATTTTGTTCCAAAGACAGCTGACATTCTAACAGATCGTTGCAAATAGAACAGGATGAAGGACCCAGTGGGATCTGAAAACGTTAGCGTAAGCAATTGAACTTATTTCACGCTGGTTATAGGTTTTTAGAAAGATTATTTGTAATTAGCATTAGAGTTTGTTAATGTGAGGTACATCAATGTACTATGTGTATTTAATGGCTAGATGTAATTTTGCCATTATGATCAAATCTGATACAAATCTGAATTTAATGGCTAGATGTAATTTTGCCATTATGATCAAATCTGATACACAATAGCATCAGCCAGAGTAAATAAATTTCAAATAAAACAATTTCATAATTTAAAATACCCAAGAAAAATTATCAAAAAACAGAACTGACTTGAATTTGAACTCAAATTCTTTACAATACTAGCTGCATTTCTGTCCAAACACTGAGTATAATTGTCCAATCCATAGATGTAGCAAAAAATAACAGAAGTTTTTTTATACGTTTTGTGCTACAGCACTTTTTCCAAAGACAGACTTATTACACTCAATTAAACATAGAGCAGAATGACTCTGAGACACAGTTTGTAGAGCATTTCTATATATTTAGAGTCTTGTTAGGTCTGAAATGCAAACAATATGCATGTTGGACCTAACAATTTAAATAACCATTCCCTCTTCAGTCTTTAATGCATAGATCCTTTTAAGATTTGCTGGTGTGTATCTATCTATCTACACATACTGGTAAACTTTCATGATATATACACACACAATAAAACTCTACCAAGTAAAACTATTTAAAACAAGACAAACTATAAAATTCAATATAAATTCCAATAAAAAATTGATAAAATTATAATTTATATGGAATTAAAATAATTTATTAAATAATTTAGAATATTTTGGAAGAAAAGAACTAGCCTGGAGTGGGATATGAACCTGCACTTCCACTTACCGTGCAGTGCACTTGCCAGTTAATTTAGATAAGAGATGGTACCTAACATCTACCTCTAGTACCAAATTATATGGAATTATAATCATAGCAGAAAATTTACATAAATGTTCATAAAATAAAAAGTCATATAAGCACAGTCTTTCCAGCATTATCCACCTTTGATAACTAAAAATAGGTGTTCACACAAGTACTTTCAAACATTTACAAAAATGTCTTCCTCAGGCATATTCTCAGAATGTTAAAATAACTTTAAAAAATATATCATTGATTCATTCCATTCCATTTGTAACAAATAAAATTTGAAGAGTTTAAAATCGAACATAAGACAAAAATTAGTGCAAGCATAGAAATATAATTGGCCAAGATGAACTATCACTCACCTCGACCAATTCAGAGCATGGAGAATAGGCAGTAGTATGATACACCGTAAAATACCTTCAAAGGCAAACATTTCGGTACAATTCAAGATCCGAACGAGATGATTGGGACCATATCAGAGCCGTAAAGCATACCCATAGGGGAAAAAAGACAAAGCAATCATACCTCTACAAGCAACCCTTTGCAAGATACAGTCCTCCAAAAATGGATCATGCGAGATCGTAAGTTGTGTCACTCCATTAAAACTATTGTGTTTAACTATTTAGCCCATGCAACTTTGCCACTTTGAGTAATCCACTCGACTATGCACTGAGTACTTGATGTTATATAGCTTCAGAGGGATGTGGGGCTCTTGTCAGTCAAGTCTAGCTATCACTCACCTCAACAATGCCAAGCACGGAGAATAGGCAGTATATCAATACACATTAAATACCGACCTTTGGAGGCGAATATCTCACAAAGGGTCGCACATACAGATACGGTTCATTTGACTTTTTTGCTCGTATAGAGGGTCTACAATTCTGGGGAGTGAGTGGGAAACCCCTCATTTAGAGTTTACATCTTACCCAAATTAATGCTTACTTTTAATTCATCAGGTAATAATAGTAAAATTATTGAAAAATTAAGCAAAAAATTTAACTCAAATCAATATCAAGAATGAAACTTTTATTAAAGATTTTGTTTAACATAAGAAAATACCAGAAATCATTACATAAGTCCATTTCATAATGGTTTATTCATGCTTAGTTAATACGCAATGACAAAATGTTAACATAAACTTACCATAGGTTTTTAATTATTGATGTAAAGTTGAAAACCCATCCAAGCCCAAAACATGAAGAACAGTACCACTGGTATCGTGACAGGTAACAACATTAAATAATAACCCAAACCTTCTTCCATTAATTCTAAAATTTCGCTGTTAAGTACTTTCTAATAAAATAAAAATCACACGAAACTTTTCAAAACATATGCAGACTATAAGTAAACTCTCTCGTATAGTGTTGCCACATAAATATAGCCCAAAGGTCTAAAATTTCGTGTACCAAATTCTTCAGAAAATAGCCAAAAATTGTATGAACAGGCGATTTTGCTAACTCGAGAATGGCAACACTAAATAGAATCGTGACGTAAGATATATTAAATCTCTCGTAATTGGTAAAATCTGAGACACGTGATGCGAATCGACTAATCGTATGAAAGTTGACTCGACGTTAGTAAGTTAGGTTTCGTATTGACACGTTTAACTCAGAATCTGTTTGTTTATGACTTATATTCAAAATGATGGATAAAATCAAAGCTTTACCTACGCATATGGTAAGTATAAAAGGAAATAAAGCTATATTTTGAAATTAGAATAGGTAATGATTAGTTTTGCATTCAATTTGGCTCCCTGCATAATTAAATCCCGAGTGTTCTGCAGATACTGTATTGCCTTTTTCGATCGTCCTTTTAGTTTATCGCCCCATCGTTTTTTTCTCAATCAGTTTTTTTTTTATATTTATTCTAATTAGAGCGTATTCATCTCATTTCTTTAAATATCATCATTCAAAGTCTAAAACTTTGTCATGCATATACATTTTTAAAGATTAATATGCTTACTATGTGGCATGTAGATTTAAAAAGGTTTGCCATACCTGCCCTATGATCTACAAATTGATTTTGGCACAAACTTAGATTTACATAAACTTTCAAATCGGTTTTCTTGTGCCAAAAAACAGAAAATCTCACATTTTGTAACAAAATTAGAGGTTTCATTGACATTTAGCTATACAAGAATTCTTGTTTGTCTGGCATTGTTGAACTAAAAAAGTGTTAATGCTGGAGTAATTTCTAAAAAATTGCTATAAAGCAAACTTGGGATTCTTAGCGTTAATTGTAAATCCGTATTTGTGAAGACAGTACAGGTATACCTTGAGTTACGTCGTTCTCGATTATACGTCGTATGTCAAAAAAATATATGGAAAAATAAAAATCAAGTTTAAGACATTTTATTTGACTATACGTCTGTCTGCCACAAATATTGAAATTGTAATATCACTAGAAAAGTATTAAAAGCACATAAAATCATATTAAAATACATACATTTACAGTAAATGTTAATATAATCATCATAAATTGTAGAGAACGAAATATGAAAACATCTGTGACTCTGATGTTAAGTTTAAGATTACACCTATGTAACTCACTGTGAATGGTTGCATTAAAAACTTAGATACAAGGTTTTATGTTTATGCTTAATTTTCATTGTGAATGGGCCTTTATTCCCATACTGTTAATCTTACAGCATTACTTACACCACTGTTTTATTTGTTGATGGAACCAAAAGAAAATTAAATAAAGAAATGTGCATGAACGTTATTAATTCAAATATTCACATCTAAATTAATTTTTATACACACGTACGTATATATTATCTATATATATATAACCGAGATGGGTTGATAATAATAATAATTATAAGTGCAGAGCCCAAACAGTTAGGAGTTGAAAGTTGAAGTTTGGTACACAGTTGGGTATGTCACGAGAACATACACTAAGAAGGAATTTTTCGAAATTCCCAGCCACGGGGAGAGGGAGAGGATTAAGTCTTACCCTGAAGAACTCTGCTTCTACTGTACTATTTCAGATGCGGGTTTTTGCATTTTTGATTGTGTTTTAATAGGGTGCGTACACTAAGAAGGGCTTTTTCGTAATTCCCCCTGCAGGGGAGAGGTTGTTAACACTTTCCCCCCATGGGAGGATGTGTTAAGAATGAAAGCATTAACAATGGAAGTGTTAAGAATGAAAGTTTTAAGAGAAAGAGGCATGCAAGATTAACAGGTGCAGATGCATTTTTAGCGGGAAATCAAACATATTTTTAGACTCATCTAAAAGTTCTCTAATTAGTCTGGAAATAGGGGGACTAATTCTTGCATTCTGTGAAAACGGGTAAGATTGGCTATAATGTAATAACCTTAATCTTTGCTATCATTACTTTTTGCCTGAACAATGCCGGGCTTATTTGCTAGTATTTATATACTAAACAGAAAAATTTCTTTAAATTAATTTCATTTTATTTTATGGCAGTGCTAAAATATAATTTTGAAAAAAAGGTTGCCTTTTATCTACTGGGTGGCTTGATTTGAATAAAAGAAAAATAAATTAAATATTTTTATAGATTTTTTTACCCTTTTCAAATATATGTTCTATCCTAAAACATGCCAATAGGATTTCATGGGTTGGTTAGGTTATGAATTTACTCGCAAACAGCATTGATAAGGGCAGCTAACAGTTCAAAACCAGCCCTGTAACTTATCTGCCTGTTTTGTCTATTTTTTATCTGTTTCTGTATTCTAGATAATTGCAGGCTGGAATAGCAAGTCTACTGTATACTGTATTCATATAAAAGAATTTAATCAAATAAATGATAAATTATTCAAATAACATGTTTTACATAGAATTTTATATTACTAATTGTCATATCATAACATTAAAAACTTAGACTCTAGTATACCAAAATGCTAATATTTCTTTTTAGTAATAACACACCACACTGGAAATATGTAATGACAAACACAGGACCAATAACTGGTGTGAAAAAACAAAAAGCTATCTCAAGACAAACATTTTCTAACTTTTCCTGAGTTCTTCTTAGGTGCTATAACAGTTACCAGATGGAATGTCATTTCAGAATATAAAAGATTTTTTAAAAGAAATGTAAATTCAAAGCACAATTTGAACTATGAGTATAAAAAATACTTAAAAATAGTTGAACTAAAAGAACTCAGAAGGAGCTAATTATAAAATGTTTGTCTTGAGATAGTTTTTTGTTTCCTTCACACTGGTTAATGGTTCTGTGTTTGTCATTATTTCTTTTCAATTAATAAAAATTTACATTAAATAAATAGTAACTAAAAATGTTATAAACAACTCAAAAATGTTTAGATCAGGGGTGTTCAACCTGCAGGCCACATGTGGTCCAAGGCAAGTTCCAATGAGGCCCAATAAACATGTAAACAAAACCGACAAATTTTTTTATTTATTTCAATGGCATAAACTCAAAAAAGAAGTTTCACAAAGCCGTAAACCTTTATATATCTTTTATTTTTGAGCAGAAAGGAAATATTTTCAAATACTTGGAAATGTGTGAATGAGGAAGGAATACTAAATAAAGCTAAAGTTGAGACTCAAAGAATTATAGACCCAAATTCGGGGAAAGGAGAGTAATGCCAAAAGATAAAAAGTAGTGAGAAAGGTTACAGAGACTTTCTGTTAAGCAAATATGGACCCTTAATTTCCCAACTTTCCTCACTTCTTTATCTTTTGTCCTTTCTCTCCTTTCCTCGCATTTGGGTCTATAATCCTTTGAGTCCAACTTTGGCTTTATTTAGTATTCCTTCCAGCGTTGCAAGATTTGGCTACCCTTTTTTTAGTTTGGTGTAAAAAATATAATTTGGCGCATTGGCTACTTTTTGGGCTACATCTTATTTATAAATATATTAGTTGAATAAAAATGCACTTTAAAATAGTGTTTTGTCATTTTTTATTCATTAGAGACCCAATAAAACAAATATTTATGTTTTTCAAATAAATTTTTGTTTGTCTCTTTTATAATAAATGAATTTATCTATTTCTAAGTAAAAATTGGAAGTGTCTGTAGAAGTAATTTTTTAAAATATCCTTTTTCGTGATAAAGATTTAATACTTATTACTATAATCTAGACATGTTAATTAAGTATATTTAAGGATTGGGCCACAAGTATATTATATATACTTGTGGCCCAGAGAAACAAAAAGGTTGGACATCCCTGGTTTAGATTATTACATCTCAGGATAAAGAATTTGCATGCAACACAACATTTCAGAATAGAACAATGTGACAGTTTTTGTTTTTGCATTTAACTTTTATTAAGTAAATTTTAGACTGGTTTGAATTACTGTTGCTTTGTTATAAAATATTTATATGAACTGATAACCATGATGATCTAAAAATGTTTACATTTTTAATAAAACTTTTTACTGCTATAAATTTAAAAGTTTAAACTTTTGTTTTTGACTTGCTTATTAAAATTACAATATACAGGTAACCCCGTATAACACGGCACTTCTATAGCACAGATTTGCTCTAACACGGTTCGAGAATTGGGAACATCCCCCGTATAACACGATGGTTTTATAGCATGGGTTCACTCTAACACAGTTCAAAAATTGGGTAAAACCCTTGTACAACATGAAATGTAATAAAGGGTGTGTTCTTTTATACTTCCGCGTAATTCTGCGCAAGCATTCTAATTGTTTTCCTGGCTACATTGAATGCTCTTTCAACAATAATCCATTTAATGGTTAAATTTTACAATTGGAACACTTCTTTTGCCTCTAAAAGCTCATTTTAGAATTATATATTCCTCCATCATTCCTAAATGCCTACAAACAGCAGCACACTCCCGTTGCAGAGCGACTGCTATTAACGAATGCACCCAAAAACTGTTACCTGTTGATGATGCTCATGCTGAGATCATCATATAGGATGAATAATCCTCTGGTAAAATATTTACGTAAATAATAAGTATTTTACCTATGAAAAAAATGAATAGTAAATCCGATTTAAATAAGGATTTAACAGCATGTTTTTAATTTTTGGAACCTAACCCCCCTTTTTCGCACTAGTTCTTTGTTTCGTATAACACAGATTTGCATAACACGGTAATTTTTTGGAATGTAACTCCCGTGTTATACGGGGATTGCCTGTAATTGAAACCAGGCACATCAGAAAAACTTGTATGTTATAGAAGACAGTGATTAATTTGACAAAATAATAATGATAGTTGACACTTCAGCTGTCTAATATTTCATATTCCTATTCATTCATCAATTCCAAAATTAAAACTATTATAAATAAGATTATTACCATAGTAGTCAACTGTTTAAAGCTGTTTTAGACTTTGATATTGTTTGTTACAATGTGTAGTAATGTAAAAAGCAAAATTCATATATGAAAATAAAGTTTGTTTTATACTTGTCATGGAAAAAAAACATTAGATCTTTGTTTACATTTTAAAAAATTAATGAAAAAAATAATTTAATCATAGGGACTGTTTACCAAATAGTTGACCAGTGTGTTCACACAATAGTTTATGGCAGTTTACAACTAGGTTTTCCTTCATCAAGAGCCTGACAAATGTTGCAACTAAAAAGATAAGCACATTCAATAATAGGCATTTTGTAGAAAATATGCACCTGAAACACAGAGCTCTTGTTATCTTCTAAAGACTTGACAATGGACAATGCTGTGCATGGTTTACCACTAGATGGGATGTACAATAATTTTTCCCATTATGATTGAGGCAATCTGTTATTCTTATATGTCATTGAGAATGGGGTTGTCTTGTGATGCTTCCTGTGAGGATTGCTTGCCTAACCTATTCCAATGGCTAATAAGCTTACATATTTATTTTGGCTTATACTGCATTCACACATAATCCATGATTCACTATAATCTCAATTTACCCACAATCTTGATTGCAACTGTTGCCAGTTGAACATAAAGCTGTTCGCACAGGCAGTCCGCTTGAAAAGAACCCGGCTATTGCATGCGATGATAAAACTGACAAGTCATGAACATCAACAAAAAAAAAATGGAAGTTTTGGTTAGAAATAAATAAATTTTTTTTGCCATATATCTAATAATAGCCAGATCTCATCGTCTCTCCAAATATCTTTTTTATTTCTCTGTTGAGAGCCTGACATGTGATTCACCGCCATCTTGTTCCTTCTTGCGTATGTGGGATTGTGGGAACTTCTTATGACTGGATCTAGTTTCAAAAACTCTCGTGTGAACTTCAGTTGACATTGAAATGGTCGAAAGAGGTTGCACCATGGCACAATCTTACCACAATCTAGATTGAAATGCTCAGTGCGAATGGGGTATTACATGGTCAACAACTGGAAGCAGTCATCAATAGGAGCCCACCCTAAGTAGATTAGTTTCCTCAGTAAATTTTTAAAAATACTTTCATATATATTTATTTGTTTTGTGCATTTTTTAAAGGTATCAATCAGAAATTCAATAATTCATCCAAATATCATTGTGTAGAGTAATCATAACATAAAAATTATTGTATGAACAAATTGAAAATAACTAATTACATAACAATGCAGATAATATAAGATTCTTAAAAATTTCAAAAAGGATCAAATTAAATTGATAATTATATTATTATAAAGTTTTAGAATAAAATGTAGTAATAATAAATTTCTGTTATTTATAGGATTTTGATGGACAAAGAAGAGCAGAGCGCATTTTCCAAACAATAATAATTCTGTTTGCAGTAAGTTTTTAGTTTACATTAAAATTACTGAAATTTTGAATTATTATTTTGAAATTTTTAAATTCCTCTTATTTTAGGTGGTTGGTCTAATTTGGGGTTATATATGTCAGCAGTTTTCTCAAACTGTATATATTTTGGGTGCTGGATTTCTCTTATCTTGTCTGGTAAGTTATTTTTCATTTCTTACAAAATCTTAAATGTTAGTAAAATGATAACTGAATAACTCCCCAAATTTCTATTCTCTCTCAGTAAATTAATTAAAAGTGCTATTTAATACGTATACAAGCTTATTTTTTGTAATAATTCACAACTTCAACAGAACATTTTGCAGATACTTTTGTTATTATTAGCATTTTTATACTGATAGAACAAAAAAGAATTCATTTTAGTATATGATACAAAATTTGAACTATGAAAACTTACATCAGTAAGTACACTGAATATATTTTGTTGTCCATGTTTTAAGTTTCTGCATTATAACTTGTTTACATTCAAAATAATAGGGAATCTTTGATTTTACTACTTGTTACCAGTATGCTTTTCTTCTAAAAATATTTCTGCCTGTATGCATATATGGTGACTAAAGTTCTGTTATAGGAAAAATGTAAAAATAACTACAAAATCATGTTTAACACTATCAATTATTTTTCTTTATAAATGTAGAATACATATTTATAGTGTTCAAAATTTTTTTCTTTTGTATATTTTGGTCTGTAATTTCTTCCCTATTTCTTGTTTTTAATTTATTGTCAGTTTCTAAATGGTGTCCCTTTTAGTAACCATGTTTTTAACCTTTCGTTTTCAAATTATCATCATCTTCCCTGTATATTCTTTCTTTACAAGAACATATCAAGGATTATTAGATTTGCAATTCATCAAAAGATGACCTCTGGCCAAAGGAGAATCCTCACCTCATTATTTTTGTTTAAGTCAGCTCCAGTCAGCACAGCATTCATTGTGGCCCAGTAGAATGGCTCAATTCATTTCTTCATTTTTTATCATGCCATTCATCAAACATCACCTGCAAAAAATAGAATTTTTCTTACTGAGCAAGTGCTAGTGCCACGTACTAGCTATTGATACTTTATATGCTGTATGCCAGTACAGCATACTAGTACAATATAAATACAGTCGACCCCCCCTATAAGACAGTAGATACGTTCTATTCTTTAGGAATCCGATTTCTTATGAGTCCTTCCAATTACAGCTCGACACATGTCAATTTTACGGACTATGGCTGTTTGAAAGGTTTTCTTCCATAAAATTAATCGATTCTAGACTAATCCGACTCAACATTTCCAGAATACATATATTTTTTTTGGAAATAATTCGTATAAACTACGCTATAAACAAAAAATTATAGGATTACTTACCGAGTGTGCACCATTCGACATTGCCGTTGCTCAAGCTTGTTTTCGTCGCGGAAGAGCTCAGCAATCAATCAATCTATTTATTTATTCGTACTGAATGAGTTGTACATGCCCTGATCCCGCTTTAGGCATTACCAGGGAGGAAGAACATCAAAATTAGCAGTAGTATACAAAATAAATACATTGAAACTGAAAGACATTATACATAGATTTTTTAACAACAAAAGAGAAAAACAAATTGAATTAAGGAACGCAACAGTTCTTGTCGCGTGTAGAACATACAGGGAGGACAAACAGACATATTTAATGTAACACTAAAATACAGATAAATTAATTCTATCGAGACAATCTTAACGCGTGTAGGAGTGAACAATATACATGTGAGAAACAAGCAATTGGAAATGTCCAAGTACAAGAAGAGTTAACTGTTAATAATCTTGTGCCTGACAAAGTTGATTTGCCTTGCCAGTTTCCTGAAGGCGTAGAAGATCTCTTTAGTGCGCCAGATATCCGAAGGGTGACAGGGCCACATAACACCAAGTTCTTGTAGGAGGAGTTGCAGTTCGAGACGATCCCGGTCTAAGATGACACAATCAAATAGATAATGTAAGGCACCATCTTCTGTGTCACAAATTGGGCACCGCTTAGAAGATCTGTTTGTGAAACTAGCAAGATAGCTCGCTTATTTACCATGTTTACTAAAGATTTGCGATGTACAGTAGTCTGGAGTATGCCAATTTGTTTTTAAAAATTGTCTAAGATCTGGGATGAGCTTGTAGGTGATATGTTCAGAGTTATGATTCCAAGTGTTTTGCCAAAGTTCTATTGTGTCATTCCAGAGAAGGTGGTGTAACGATCGCAGGCTGATCTTGTTATAGGTGATCTGTAAAGAACCGTTCAAGGCTGCATCCTTAGCCAGGGAGTCTGCCCTCTCATTTCCAGTGTCTCCCTGGTGAGCCCTTATCCATGTGATGGTAAAGGTGCATTCAGAAGATTGGGTTGCATTTTTAATGTAATCAGCCAGAGGATGTAACTTGTTGCTCTGCAGCAGATCTAGAGCTGACCGAGAATCAGTGTGTATGTGCACATGAATATTACTGTAGTTGTGATTAATGTAGTCAATGGCCATCCCTATAGCATATAGCTCGGCTTGAAACANGGATAAACTTGTAGGTGATATGTTCAGAGTTATGATTCCAAGTGTTTTGCCAAAGTTCTATTGTGTCATTCCAGAGAAGGTGGTGTAACGATCACTGGCTGATCTTGTTATAGGTGATCTGTAAAAAACTGTTCAAGGCTGCATCCTTAGCCAGAGAGTCTGCCCTCTCGTTTCCAGTGTCTCCCTGGTGAGCCCTTATCCATGTGATGGTAAAGGTGCATTCAGAAGATTGTGTTGCATTTTTAATGTATTCAGCCAGAGGATGTAACTTGTTGCTCTGCAGCAGATTTAGAGCTGACCGAGAATCAGTATGTATGTGCACATGAATATTACTGTAGTTGTGATTAATGTAGTCAATGGCCATCCCTATAGCATATAGCTTGGCTTGAAACACGGTGCACCTGCTGTCAAGTCTGTACATTTGGTGGTGGACCTCAATATTATTTATATAAGCGACAAAACTACTCCCAACATTATCATTGATACGAAAGCTATCCGTGAATACGTGTATATCGGCATTCCCAGAACTAGTAAATTTGCATACAGAAGTTTCTCCTGGTGAGCGAGTTTCTTTAAAAGAGGAAGGCCACTCAATGTCATTATAATTAATGGTGCACGAAGTAATCTCTACTGTCCCTCCCCATTTTAATTGTTGAAGTCATCGCTTTTGTAGGATAGAAAGGTCTATAGGTGGCTTTTTTGCCAGGACTTGGAGGGAACTATTACTAGTTGTCCTATATGCTCTTGTGATGAGTAATAAGGCACGACGCTGGAAGGAGACGAGCTTTCTTTTAGCATGAACTTTGTGTGTGGCCCACCCCCAAGTGCCACACGCGTAGGTAATCACTGGTATGTAGATACTATCATAAATTATAGACATAGCGTCACTAGAGAGGCCCCAGTCTCTCCGGGCCACCTGCGAAAAAGACTGCATAACTAATCCAGTCTTGTTTGTAATGTAGTCAATATGCCTATCCCAGGACAGGCGGAAGTCCAAAATAACCCCAAGATATTTTAGGGTCTGATCCACTTTAATTGTATTGCCCTGCATCTTGATGTGCGGAGGACATCGATACATATTGGGATGACCTGATTTATTAAGCACTATTGCTTTGGTTTTAACAGGATTGAAATATAGCTTATGCTTTACACCCCAATTGCTGACATGCTGAAGCATGTTGTTGGCATTACCCTCGAGGTCAGACCTAGACCGGCTCCCTAGCAGCAAGAAGACATCATCAGCATAAGTATAACTGCTAGTTTGCCCAAAGTTCTCACCAAGAAAAGCATCAAATGTAATGTTCCACAAAAGGGGTCCTATGACAGACCCCTGTGGACATCCCTCAGTGATGGGTTTGATGACCTGATGTTGTCCATAACATAAAATAGCACTGCGATCTGTCAAATAGTCACATAATAGTTTGTAGATGTTACGAGGGCAATTTATCTGACGTAAACGATGTAAAACTAGGGGCCACCAAGCACTATCAAACGCTTTTGAAATGTCCAGGCTGACCCCCAGGACATACTTGTGATCCTCCAGCAGATGTTGTATTTTGTCGACCACTGCCTGAATCGCATCCTCCGCAGAGTGCTGAGGGCGGAAGCCATATTGATTTTCACATAAAATCTGATTTCGTTCAACAAACCAAATCATCCTTTTAGCAATCAGATGCTCCAAAACTTTGCCCAACACGGGCAGAAGAGATATGGGCCTGGTGTCAGTAGCAGACCCCAGTTTTGGGACGGGAACTATATTGGCCTTTTTCCAAGAGTGTGGGAAAATGGCATGTATTAAGCAGGTGTTGTAGGCATTATACAGTGTTTGAGGAATGATCTTCCAAAGACCAAGAGCAATCTCTGCAGTAATGTTGTCAAGGCCAGGGGCCTTGCCCCTGCCCATATAGTTGAAAGCTTGATCCATTTCCTCCATTGTAAAAGGAGTAGTGTCCTCGGTATTATCAGTGTAATAGCATTGGTCACGTATTTGATGTTGCCATTCGGTATCAGTTTCAGGATCATCATCCGGACATTAACTTTGTAACTGTGAGGCTAAGGTCTCAATTAAGGTCTCTGGATTATTGTCACTGTTTTTGGCAGTCAAAATCTGTGTCTTCCTAAGCTTGCCACTACACATCCTGGTCACAAAGCCCCAAGGATCATTGGAGGTCCTTAAACAGAAGTTGCGCCAGCTCTGAACCCTAGTTAGTTTATAACCTTTTTGTAATGTCTTTGGCTTATCAGGTAAGCCTCCCTATGTTCTGCTCTAGCAGTATCATCTGAACATTTTTGATATATTTTCCTCAGCTTTCTAGTGGTTCGGCGTAGATCATTCAATTCAGTGGTCCACCAGGGAACACTCTTTTTGTGTATAGTTTTCTTTGGGATATATAGCTCGCAAGCAGTAATGATGGTCATAATATTTTGGTCAATCTGAGTCCTGGCCTCAGTAGGATTATCAGAGTACTGCTGAATAAGTTGTTCCTCGAGATACTCTTTCATTTCCGGCCAATTTGCCCGATTTAGGGCAAATTTGTCCCTAGAGTTAAGAACTGGCGTAGTAGTGTCATTTGCAGCTGCTATGTCAAACGTGATGTATTCGTGTTCGCTTAGGCTGTCATCATCTAGGATTCTCCAGTCCCTTATCCTGGGATGGTATTTGGCACTGCAAACTGCAATGTCGATCCAACTTTTACCTCGACTCGAGGTAAAAGTGGGTGGGGACAATGGGTTATTTATCAGCATAAGTTCGTTACAAGTGAAGAATTCCTCCAGTAATCTCCCACGTGGGTCAAGAACGTCACCACCCCACGCTGGGGAGTGGGCGTTTAGATCACCGGCGATTAAAATACAGGTGTCAGGGAAGGCGTCTACAATCCTTTGGAGTTCTTCTATAAAGGTCGCGTTGTCAGCATCGCCAGGGAAATAGACATTAACCACAATAAACCTATCCTCCTTAGTCAAAATTTCCGTCGTAATCACAAACTGGCTACTGAAGTTCATGTGATGCATAGTGGATATGTTTGTACTAGGGATGAGCGTAATCGCCCAAGGAAAGTCGTCGGTCCCTCGCAGCACAGGACAAGATGTGGGAAGACAAGCAGGAGTATTTCTCTTACAATACGGTTCTTGCACTAAAATTAAATCGTATTTTTCAATGTTCTTAGAGAGGAGGGAGGTAGCAGAAATGGCCCTATCTAAATTAATTTGCAGAATACGTATACTGTTGTTAATATTAAAGGCCGTAGTCCGTTCTGTTGTTCCTAATACGTTAGTTAATTGGGCAACACCCGTCTTGTGCGTTATGATTACAACTATTTTCCGCCTCCCGTTTGCAGTTACAACAGATTGGACTGGATTCTCTATTTGGACATTCTTTGTACAGATGCACGCCTGCGCAATGACTGCACGTGGGCCCTGATTCAGGACAGTCCTTTGCTGCATGATTATATGTGCAGCACTTAAAGCACTGCAGGACTGGGCAAAAATCCGCAATCCTGCAGTGCGACCATGGAAGAGCTCAGCAAACTGCGGCCGCAATTTCTGATGTTATTTTTCTGCGAAAACTTTGCTGAACTTTGGAGACATCATTAATATAAATAATTTTAATCGCCGTTGAATAAGAAATGTCTCTCTCACAAGAAATGTATAAAATTACAGTGCTGTATTAGACTTACGGTACCTAATTTACATACTGTACAGACGATAGTTAGCCTAAACTCTCCGTAGCGTGGCGCCAGGCGGTGGAAAATATATATATAATTATAATAAAGTTACAATAAATTAAGTTAATATATAATTATATATACAGTACCTAATTTATATACTGTATAATACTGTACAGACGATAGTAATCTCTCTGTAGCGTGGCACTTGACGGCGGAAAATAGTTCGGCTGCCCGATGATGTTTTATGTAATTATAGGAGTTTTTTTACCGTTTTTTACGGATACCGTCGCAATTTTTTCGCTGTCTTGTAGGAATCATAATTATAGGAACCTGTTTTATAGTGTGTCTACTGTATACACACACATAGAGAGAACATACTACATAATAAATTATTATTAAAACATATACATATATATGAATAGGTTATTTAGATTAATTTTTTTTCTATTAATTTTATTATGAATTTTTACAAATTCCAATTGACAGTAAAACTATAGACAGAAATTATGATGTGCTTTTACAGTTGACATTACCTCCTTGGCCCATGTACCGATTGAAACCTCTTTCATGGCAGAAACCAAGAGATGAAAACCACAGCAGCCAAATACAAAAGAATAAGAAGAAAACCAAATAAAAATTGCTATTAAATATTTATAATGCATTCCATTCTTATATTTTGTATTTTGTTTCTCGAACTTTAAATACATAATTAACTTGTATTTGTCATTAAAGTTGTAGTTCTTTCTCATTATGCTTAGTGAGAGAATTTAAAGAATTATTTCCATGATAATTTTGAAGACATAAAACTTTCAATGGAATAGTTAACAATTTTTGCTTTATGAAAATTTCATTTAAAATGTAATGTTTTTAAATATAAAAAATATGAGGAATACATAAGTTTGTACTTTGACAAGAATAGTTTTATATTAAATTCTACAAATAATTTCTAGAACTGAAATAATTGCTTCATATAATTTTCATTTGTTACAAATTGTCCAGTTGAGAGACACTAGTTTTATAATCCATGCCTGAGTCCACATGTTGATTTCTACATGTCTGCAAAAATAATAACTGTTGTTTCAGTACTCCAAATTTCACTTTAAGATTAAAAAAAAAAGCTTTTTGGTTCTTCCCCATCATTTTCATAGATAAAGAATTAACTTACCTTTAACTCGCAGAAAGTCAACATTAATAAACAGTTTATATAATCCCCGATATTAAGCAATTTGTTTAAAATATAAACTAAAATAATTACTGTATTTAAAAAGCACTTTTGCTCATACATAACTTGAGCTTTAGTTGATGGTGTTCTAATACAAATCAAATTCAAATTCGTGGGTTTGGATCAGTGATGTGTTGTCCTATGGGCAAAAAGGGCAATTGTCCATAGAATAATAATGATTTGTCCATAGGGGGGTCTTGTTCATGGAGGCCCCAAACCACTCTTTTATAAACACACTACTAAGAATTTCTGGGAACCTTTATTGCTGCTACGGTGCAGAGCACCATAGCAAACTAGAACTATCCATAGCAGAACTTAACCTCTTAAAAATCAATTATTTTTTCGGAAAGTGGGTAGGCCTTAAGAATAAATGTGAAAAAGAAATATATATTTTAGAAATATTTCTGATTTCTGCTGGGTGAAGTTAGTGACAGAAAATAAATTCTATTTGAAGCCTTGGAACTGTCGTCAAGTTCTCACCCTCCTCAGTGGGTTTTTTGTTCGTCCAGAAACCCCCAATGAATAGGCAGAATTGACATTACGAGAAAAACTGGAATTGCAGAGTTCCAACAGCTAATGTATTCGAAAGTTTGTTTAAAATAATTATTGCAGGTTCAAACGATGCGTCATCCAAGCAACATACTATACACTTGCTTCTAATGATTTGCCCACAAGCTTCTCACAATCTCCTATGGTGGGTTTCTTTTGGAAACAATGTGTATATGTTATATTTACATATTGTACGTTGTACATATTACAGCGATAATTCTGCACTTTTTTAATTCGGGAGAGACAAGAATGGTTATTTCAATTAAATAAAACTTCCTTTTTATGTGCATTGTGATTTTCCGACAGCCTTTTCGAATCCAATTCTAGTAAATATTTTAACTACAATAGAAGAGGTACAAATAATCGTTTCTCGGAGCAATAATAATAGGACGAAAAGTGTCATTTGAGTATTTTAAAGCAAGTCCATGCCTGAAATAAAATTAAAATCATAAGTAATCAATCAGCAATATGCTAATTAAGGACACATACTTCCCTTTTGGACTACTTGAAACCTGAAAATGAAAAGATTTCAAATGAATAAGTCTTGCAATTATCAGAAATTGGATTTATACTTATTTTTTAGTTAGGAAGGCATGACGTATCTCAAATTTTAAATTTTTAAAGCAAGACGCCTAATAAGAAATTGTGGCAGTGGATATTAAGACTGACGATGAATTTTTCACGAATTTTTATCTACAAACTGTTCGGGATAAGGACGGCATGAAAATAGACAGTCCACTTATATGTTACTGTATATATGTGATCTATTATCGTACAATTTAGCAAAATCGCTGCAGAGGAAAAATTGCCGTCAACGTTGATGTTATAAGCAATGATGTAACGAAACGATGACATCATCTATAAAAAACTGACATCATTCACCAATTAAAATGCAAATACACAGTAAGTTACATAGGTGTACAGTGGGCTTTTGCATGAAATATCTTGCCTTCCGATTCAGTTATTTAAAATCACGTAAATGATAAGAATTACCTAATGTGATAATTTCTGCATGAAACATAAAAAATGTACAGATAAACTTAAAATTTGTAGATTAACTAGTCATGGGAATTAGATGGTGCCACATATCCTTAAATTTATATCTGTACATTTGGAAAATGAAAATTTGATGGTAGCACTCTTGGTTATATTTGCGGTACCACTGTTTACAGAAGCAATATGCAAATAAAAAAGAAAATAATAAAATGTTTGACTGAGAATGTATAAAACTAGTATATGCCTACTTTGTATAGTTAAAAATATAGTTTTTTCAATAAAACAAGGAAAACCAAAGCAATGTTAATTGCAGTACATTCCAACGGCCTTTAATTGTGGAAATGTGCTTGAAGAATACCAAAATTGTCTCATATTATGTGTTAAATTGGGAAAAGTATTAATTGTTTCATTTTTTTATAACCTATAAATTCCCACTGTCGTCCGTCTTTAGAAAAGAGTTAGGCAGATGAAATCCGAGACAAGATATGGAAACCTTAAGGGCAGGAGGCCCGATTAACTATATAACAACTTCCGAAAGTCACTTTACGTCAATTCAAAACTTTTCCGCCGAAAGGTGTTAGACAGACGACTCTATTGTTAAATGAAAAGTATGATGTACTGTACAGGGGCAAACCACTACTAATTTAAGGTGAAGAGCATATATTTTGAATTAAATTAATTAAAAATATGATTAAAAATTGCAGCCCGGCATTGTGACGATGTCACAATAAATAATTGCTCGTTTCGTAGCTATAAATTATCATCATTATGATCCATCCTACTTACAGCAAAATTCATCCGTAGTTTCTTCATACGAAATATGAATTAATACAAAAATAATCACAGTTATAAGCAGCAGAAACTTCATGCTTGGAGTTAATTAAACCAATTTAATTAAAGTACTAAAAAATGTATCATTAAAAGGAAACGTGATAACAAGAGAAAGGTTTTATGAAAAGCGACTTTTACAAAATTATTCTTAATTTAAAATATCAGCGCTAGAAATATAGGCTATACAGTGGTGCCTCAGTGCACGAACTACTCCCAACTCGAATAATTCGATATTCGAATTCACGTTAAAAAAAAAAATACAATGCTCGATAATTGACTGCAGGCTCGGCACTCGACCGAAAAATACGACCTGCTTAAACAAATATTTTTATTTTAACTTTAATTTTGTTATCCGTACAACTTTCCTGCGATAAAAGTAAGTATCTAATTTAAAAATAAAACAAAAGCCTAGAGTTGAATATCTTCGTCAGACAAAATTATTCCTAAATTTAATAGTCGTATTTTGCCATTCTGTACGGCTATTCCCAACGACATATGACTACCAGACCCCGAACCGGGCCGCCATCTTTGAAGCGAATTGAACGCGCTTCCGCCATGACACTTAAAAGGCCTAAAGCTGCGCACCTGCTGGATATACATAATACAGATATGACCGTTTATTACATAAATATACAATTGTTATCACACGATGCTTTTGCTAAACTGTGGCTTTAACTCAAACTGTCTTAGTCCTAACAAACAGTGCTAACACAGAAAACCACAGCTGTGCCCTAGCGCCTACGTCCTAACGTGAAAATCTGTTTTCCTCTGGATTGTCGAAATACTGATACTTTTTTTGATATGTGGAGCAACGCTGCTAAGGGAAAACTCTGTTAATTTTAGGAAAATTTCAGGTGTGTTCAGAGGGTTAACACGGTAGAAGGTTGACTACCTCTTCCTCGCAGCTATCACTTACTGTTAGTGCACAATTCTGGTGAACTTCGCTGTACACGTTCTCATTTCTCCGCGTTTTTCAAATGATTTATGCATGCTAAACTTGTAAACTTTTTGTTAAATTCAAGTTAAAATGCTTTTATATATGCAATCCTGGAAAAAAGTTTGAAACCCATTCCCATTAAAATTAATTGATATCCTGTAAATATGTTGTTGTTTAAGTATTAAAGTAACCACAAACAAATATGAAGTAAAAATTTATTTTCGTATTTCAAAAAAAATTCATATACAACAATTATTCCTTGCAATTTGCCTGAAAAAGTTTGAGACCACGATTAAAAAAAAGCCACAAAAACAAAACATAGTGGGAAAAACAATGTTTAATACTTGGTACAGGATTCTTCTCCTTCCGAATTCATCACCGAACGATTATTGATGCTAATGTCTGAAATTCCATTTAATCGATGCAAGATGTGTGATTACCAGAGCCCCTTCGGCCGCCAATTNGGTTAACACGGTAGAAGGTTGACTACCTCTTCCTCGCAGCTATCACTTACTGTTAGTGCACAATTCTGGTGAACTTCGCTGTACACGTTCTCATTTCTCCGCGTTTTTCAAATGATTTATGCATGCTAAACTTGTAAACTTTTTGTTAAATTCAAGTTAAAATGCTTTTATATATGCAATCCTGGAAAAAAGTTTGAAACCCATTCCCATTAAAATTAATTGATATCCTGTAAATATGTTGTTGTTTAAGTATTAAAGTAACCACAAACAAATATGAAGTAAAAATTTATTTTCGTATTTCAAAAAAAATTCATATACAACAATTATTCCTTGCAATTTGCCTGAAAAAGTTTGAGACCACGATTAAAAAAAAGCCACAAAAACAAAACATAGTGGGAAAAACAATGTTTAATACTTGGTACAGGATTCTTCTCCTTCCGAATTCATCACCGAACGATTATTGATGCTAATGTCTGAAATTCCATTTAATCGATGCAAGATGTGTGATTACCAGAGCCCCTTCGGCCGCCAATTTAAAGTCTTTTAATCTTTAAAATTGGCGTTTCCACTTCCCGGGACGAGGACCCAGGGGTTGGATTTGTGGGAAGCGTGTGTTCGGGTTGTTTCATTGTGTCGAATTACACAGAACGAGGTGCTTGACGTGTAAGTGCGTGAGTGCGAGAATTCGAGTAAAGGTTAAACGGTATACATCTTCGCGTACAGTGGTGTTATGTCTGTGCGTGTGTGTGATCGAAGAACATCTTCGGCACGTCTATAAACAGAAAACAGTAAATTACGATACGAGAATAAGATGTGTTAAGAAATGAAACGAAAGAGTTCTTACCATCGGAAAATATTCACTTGTACGATAAATGGCCACTTCTTGGTCCTCTTCGTGGTAAAGTTTGGGAGGGAGATACTTCTCCCTCCCAAATGTTCCTACAAAACACAAAGGCAGTGAGAAAACGAGAAGTTTATTCATTTATTACCTAAGGTCAAGATTATTACCTTAATCAGACAGCCTTTCTTCCCGAACAGTGTTATGAGAAGAGCGAAGGACCTGACCTAGCCTAGGCTAAGCTAACGAACCCTAACCGGAAGCTCAATCCTCATAACAGCTGTTTGGGAAGAAAGGTCGGCCAAATGTTGCGTCCGGTGAAGAAATGTGTCAAGTCCGTGGGTCACGTCCGGGTAAGAGAAGTCACGTCCATTAAACAGTGTCATGGCCGGGTGAAAAGTGTCGAATCCGGTAAGAAAGTAGCATCCGGGTGAAGAAGAGGAAATCGAATAAGATCACCGCCTAGGCCAAGGCAACCGCAGCCGTCCGCAGCAAAAAAACCACGGACAGCACGGTCCCTCGACTTCGGGGCTCTCTCCTCCGACTCCTCCCCGTTCCGACTTCGGCGAGGCGGTGGCATCGCCGTCGCGGACGAACGGGCAGAACGCGACCAAACAGAAAGTGACAGCTCGTCCGAGCTGACACTTTCAACATCCTCCACAGCAAGGTCTGTGGCCGGATGACCCCCGAAGACCTCGGCCAAGCGCACTGGACCCAGGGTGTAGCGTCGCATCATCCCTACTCCGGGAGGATGCCACGCCACGCGCACTTGGCGAAGGCCTTCTTCACCCGCTGCCTGTCGCTCCTCGGACGGCACGGAACGACAGACTCGTTCCGCGTCGTCCGAGGAACCCTCTCCCTCCGGCGCCACCGCCTGCCTCCGCCGGAACCGCCTCCAACAACGCAGCAACGTCTTCATCCTGTAAAAAAGAAAATTTGCAATTAGTCCAGTGAAAACAAAAGCTTAAATTAATGCTTAAATTCTTCCGAGTAAAAGCAAGCCGCCTTTTTAAATCTAAAAGATTCGAATCCGACTATCGAACGATGTGCCGAGATGTCTTCTGGGACCGATTCTCCAAGTAATATTAAATCAATTCTTACGTCTAGGGTCAATATGGACTAAGACTTACCTAAAAAATCTTGAATCCTCTCCGCAAAAGTCCACAAACCGCAAAAAAAGCAACGCAATCCAAGAGCAGAACAAAAGCACGTCCGAAAGCAACAAGAAACACAATCGAACTGCGATTCGTCATGCGTGACGTATTTCGAACAAACGTTAAAAACGCGTCAACAATGTTCGAATTTCGTAAAAAAATCAATTTTTTAATTTTTTTTAATTAATTAATTTATAATTATTTTTCTTTTTTAAATTTGATAAATAAATTATCTTCTGCATTTACATGGTGCAGAATGTCGACCGTGGAGAGGTAAAAGACGATCTTTTTAAATTCTACGTCTCGAGGCTTGACCATCTCCGAAATTCGTTCGAATAAATATCTTTTTCGTCCATTTTCGACCATGGCATGAAATAAATCAAATTCTTAGGATTCCTCGGTCGCCGCGGGTTTCGCCTATTAATGCAACATCAAACTGGATAAAGTTAATATTAAAAATACCGAAAAACCTTTATAATACGGCCGAACGAAAATTAAGTCTCGACACAGAGGATAAACAGACTGAGCTAGGGGGAAACAACTATTCTTTCTCCTTTAATTTCTGACTTTTTAAAGGATCTCTCACCTAAATTCTTAATGTGATCGCTTAATCAATTTGACACGTCCGCAAGTATTGATCCAACTTTGAAACTTTCGCTCGTACCTCTCATGCCATGATATTTTATTTCCTGACCGCTGAGAATTTTTTTTTACTTACAACGCGACAGTTTTGCTTTGGGAGGAATGCTACATTTATTTCCAAATTTTGCCATTGTCGTCCGTCCGAATGTCTTAACCTCGAGAACGGAATTATATGAAATCCGAGACCAGATGTGGAAACTTTAGAGACAGGAGGCCCCAATTAACTATATATGATCTTCCGATTCAAACCGAAAGTCTCGTTTTTTTCAATTCAAAACGTCAGTTAACAGATGAGTTAACGGAAAAGTGTGATGTACAGGGGCAAGCCACTACTAGCTTGAGATATTTTGAATTAAATGATTTTAAAATATGATTAAGAATTGCAGTCCGGCATTGTGACCATGTCACAATAGACAATTGCTCGTAGTTATCGTTTGTTTGTGAAAATATTTACGATGAAAACTAAATTTTGATCTTTGTCGTGTTATGAAGCAGAATATCGAAGTTAAAATCCTTCCGAGAGGTAAAAAGGAGTTAATAATTGCGAGAAAAGGCATTTTCCAATCAAAAATAAGTGCAAGAGACTGATATGTAGAAACTACACCATTAAGAGTGTACAAATTGTGTACTTTATCCATCATTGTGGATAACAAAAGTATATTAAGACGAACTAACCTTTTGTTCGTTATGTTGGAGACACTGAAGCCGTGAGCGCGAATAGGGACCAATCCGAAATAGGCGAAATAAAGAGAACTGTTTTAATCTCGGTCTCTGTTAAGTTATAAATCTACTCGTTATACCCGTAATCGGCCAAATATCTAGCGGGCAGGCGGCTAAGAGCCCATAACCGGTCCAGGATAGAATTGGAAGTGTTATATATGTGGCATCGACCCAAGGTCGTAGGCTTCCTACCGCTAAACCGGGTGAGGTTGGTGCTCTGTAAAGCGCGTGCGCAAATCTGGCTTTTTGGAATCTGACAATACAGAGATTCCACTCCGCCACTAATATTCGTATATACAATAGCAATCTTATTATTAATATTATTTTTTCACATGTAGTATAGAAATTTGTAATAATATAGATAATGCGGTTATAATAAAATATTGTGCGATTATTTTCGTATAATTAAAATTAATATGTATTTATTTTTTATAAAATACAAGGGAAGCGTCGCTTCCACCGCTTCTAATGACTGCACGCCACTGCAATGGACTAATTTAGAGGGCAAGAGCTTTATATTGATACCTGGACCATTTTTGTTCTCTCAGCCATTCTCTTATACGATATACTAGACAGTATTTGAGGCTTACCAACTTGGGTGAGGGTTTGCCTCACCCGAAATAATATATATAGGCCTATATATATTATTTTGTGCAATAAAAGTACACACTAATTCAATTAACTCTATTATTTATGAATTTTTCTGGCGGATTATATCATATATCGAAATCAGAATTAATTATTCAGAAATATCATATATCAAAGTTTGCCCATCTGTGGCGGAGTGGATAAAACCAGTGAACATTACAGGTTAAATTAAGTACTACCGATGACAATGACATTTTATTAAGAAAATGACGTTGTAAGTTGGTCGTGGGATCGAGCTTCGCCAACGGGCTGGTCACGTCGTCCGGGGAGGTACCCTTCTTTCGGCATACCACCCACGTGTCGAGTTACCCTATATAAGTAAACTAAATCATATATAAAAACTCGGGGGTTAAATTTTTTAATGAAATTTTATCTAAAATTTTTCTTTACTTTTACTTTTTCGGCTGTTATGTATACATAACAAGGGAAAGTATTGAAATCGTGTCAAATTTAGCCGTTTATTTTTCTTTTGGTAAATTTATACTTTGAGATCTCTGAACCCAAAAAAAGTCAAAAAAACTAGCGAGTTGCTTAACTTTCCTGGCAGTTATAAGATTTTATTTAAAAAATAAAAATACAATTTTAAAATATATATTATATTTACTTAACTACTGCGATAATAATAGACGAGCTATATAATTACTGTATTGCGATAGGTTTTTTTTAACTCTCCGCCCTGTGGGCACTAAGAGGGCCTCTTTTTGCAAGCCCATTATGGGTTTGGCCAGACCCACAATGGGGCTGCCGGGTGGTGAGGGACGAGGCCCGACATATCCGAACGAACCACCCCCCGAAAAATTCCTGGGGATTTTTCGGCCCGTTCGGATTCGAGCCCGGGTCCCCCAGAGCGATAGGCTGCCGCCTTGACCGCTCGGCCATCCGGCCGCTATTGCGATAGGTAGCATATAGCACTTGCCTGCATGCAATCGAAAGTGTTATTCTGTGAAAAATCTATAAGTATTTAATTTTCTCATTGCAGAACGGGTTTCCGACTCGGGATTTTCATTTCTGAATGGTACTTTTTAATTCTAATAAGCGATCTCCAGTAACCCGAGTATAAAACAACCGAACTCTGGTAGTTAGTCGTGGGTTAGGGCATGACCAACGGGCTGGCCACGTGGATTTTTCCGGGTTTTCTTCACTTAAATAGTGTCTCATAAAAGATTTCTTGGGATGCATCCCCCGGTTGATCACTTACGTGTCGTGTTGCAAATAAATCAAACTAATTCTAACGAGCAATTATTTATTGTGACATCGTCACAATGTTCTCAACTTTTTAGTATACATCATACTTTTCCTGTTAGCAATTGAATCGTGCCGGTCATCTATCTTTGTTCAGGGAAGATCTGAGTGGAAGTAACGTGACATTCATTTTAATCCTAAAGTTCCTGTATAGTTAATCTGGGCCTCATGCCTCTAAGCTTTCTACGTCTGGTCTCGACTTTCATGTATCTAACTCCTTTCTCGAGATTGAGGAAGAACAGACAGCCAGACAACAGTCGCAATTTATTGTCTTCAACTTTTTCAAATTGCTGTTCAATATTTCTATAAACTCGATATTTACGAGAACATACTTCCCACATAGTTTATACAATCTGTTGCAAAAATATAAACACTTTAATATATTATAAAATATTAATTAATATCTAACTAGATGCTTCTTAACCTATGCAAAAACACCTCGTCTCACCGAGAATTTTTTATTAACCGTAACGAACGTTTTCAACCTGTTCTACAGGCCATCTTTCAAGCTTTTAAAAATCACGGAACATTGATAACTGTTTTTTTTTGTATAGAACAGTTAAGAACACATTTAAAATTCAAAATTCTTTGGAATATTGAGCTATTTGATCAAAAAATAAATTACAGCAATATATATACAATTTAAAATAACAAAATAATATAGATAAAAAACGTTGGTTAAATCTTGAAAACGTTCTTTACAGTTAATAAATAATTGTCAGTGAGATAAAGAGTTTTTGCATAGGTTTTTGCATAAATGCATTAATTATAACAGTTTTACAAGATGTTTTTATTTAAACAAGTCATACGACGAAGTCTTTGAACATTAAGGTTAGCAACTCGATCACATGCAGAGCCATCACAACCTGTCTTTTTTTATACTCTTTCCGCCCTGTGGGCACTAGGAGGGCCTCTTATAGCAGGCCCATTATGGGTTCGGCCAGGCCCACAATGGGGCGACCGGGTGATGAGGGACGGGACTCGACATATCCGAACGGACCATCCCCGAAAAATTCCTGGGGATTCCTTGACCCGTCCGGATTCGATCTTGGGTCCCCAGGGGCGGTAGGCTGCCACCTCGACCCTCGGCCATCCGGCCGTCTATCATAACCTGTCTAACACGGATCACTTTTCAATTATTAATAGTAGACCAGTATTAATTAGCAGTGGTTGACCATCGAGGGCCGGATGGCCGAGCGGTAAAGGTGGCAGACTACCGCTCTGGGGGACCCGGGATGGAAATATCCCCAGGAATTTTGGGGGGTCTCCGTCCGAGTATGTCGGGCCCGTTCCTCACCACCCGGCCACCCCATTGTAAGCCTGGCCGAACCCACAATGGGCTTACAAAAAAAGGTCCTCTTAGTGCTCACAGGGTAGAGTTAAAAAAAAGTGGTAGATCATCCTCTCAAGGGAGGAGGTCAACGACTATTTTGCTCGAATTACTTCGACCCCCTTCCGCCAGGGTCCCTTCTTTCTATCAGACCAGGGGTATGTGGCATTGGAAATTTCAAAATACAAGGTTACGGACCTGCACAAAATATGATTTAAGCAGTTTTCGGGGTGCAGAGTTTAAATATTTGGTCCGTTTTTCGCGAAATTTGATTCGTTGTCAGATGACCATTTGATATTTCGCTGTGAACGAGTTTCTTAGAGATGACATTCGTAGTTATATAAATAAAATTCCTAATAAAATATAATAGAAGGGTTAGAAGTACGAAAGAACCTAATACCTTATTTATTGTTATTTTTTGCTCGAGCAACGCCCGGCTCATATGCTAGTAATAAATAAATTGCGTGGGCTCTATATTTTATACTCTATACAAGGTCTGTTCAAAAAGTATCGGACCTTTGGTCGGCAAAAATAA